TTTAGGTCTAAAATAAGATCTGCAAGTATTGACAAACAAAAAGAAACCAGAGTCTGATTTTGTTTCTCTAAACACCAGGCAGAAGTTCACTCTCACTTCATGCATTCTTCATGGTTACATTTATTGGAATTATTTGTAAGTACAATATTATCAATTCACACTACTCACAGCTACTCTCCTTGTTATTTCATGTACATCAAACATACAGAGGCTATTCCATTTTCTGTGTACATCTTACTGCTCAAGCAAAACAATAAAACAGTTGAGTGAGCACAGAGTATAAAATCAGAATCTAAAATAAGGCAAGCGTGATAAAAGTATTAGGCTTAGTAGTCTTTCTCTAGAAAAATAGATTTTGCTGTCAAGTTTCCTCTGAAACTTTTAACAAACATATTGCAAAAGAGAAAAATTAACTTAACTATGGTAAACAAATTCCTTCCTTCAAGGCACTGTTACGTAACTTTTAATGTCAATTTGAAAATAATTCAGGAAGTCAGTTGATAGAAATATTACCGTACCAATAAAAAAAAGAACAAAAATATTTCTTTGGTTAAATAAAAGGCTGAACGGAAAAAAAAATCAGATGAAGTTTCTGTATAGAAAAAAACAATCATTTTGGTTAAGATGGAACAAACATTACAAGCTTGAAGTCTTATAAAATTCAACTACAAAAATTAACTCAGTTATCAACAGCAAATTTAAGACAACTCACAGAGTTTTAGTAACAAGTTGTAAAGTTTGGAACTTGTTTTTTTTTTCTCCCCATAGAGTTGTTTTAATGCATTATATATGCATGCTCTGTTATAAGGAAGTAATACAACTGCAAAACCATATAAAACTAGTGGAGAGAAATTTTTCAAGGATGCAACTTCCAATTCTCTTATGAAACATACCACTTGGCTCTGTACTTTCACCTGTGCAAGTGCTCAGCAATGGTAGATTGTTTCCAGTCCCTGTACAGAAGTTCCTACACAAACATTCTGAATGGCACAGTATAAAAACCCACAGGTTTTTCCTACAGATTTACCCTCTATCTTCCCTGTACACATCTAATAGCAAGTCATCTCAGCTCCTGCTGTCTGTCCCTCAGGACCCCTATGGGGTCCTTCCCATGCTCCTACAACAATTCTCAACTGGTTTCTCCTTGCCCCTCCCTATTTTTGGAGAGCTAGAACTGCAACATGTGGCAAATTGTGGTGAGCCTGCACGTGCTGGGTAGCTCAACACAGAGGGGACGACCCAACTGAAAGACTCCTCCTACACTGAAGACAGTCTGTTTCTTTCTGATTTTCAACACTGACTGCTGAGCGATTAAAAGTTTTGAGGGTGGATTTAAAGGCAGACTACAAACCTCATTTTCTTTGGCTGAAAAACAGTTAGAGGCACATCGATGGCAATTTCAGTATCAACATCAATACTGACTGATTTTCCCTCTCTTCCTCAGGATTCTGCGTGTCAAGTGACCTCTAGCTAATCATTTAATCATACTGGCCCACTATTGGGTAACTCTTAGATCTCCATCCTAAAGAAATATTCATACAGTTCTACTGAAGCTCACAGTTTGGCAACTCTTCTAATATTTGTCAGTCCTCACTAGGAATCTGGTCTCACAGCTGCTTGTGTCTACTTTGGACCTATGGAAAGGAGGAATTTGCAGTGACTGGTTTGAAGCATTAGGAAACAGCCCTTCAGGATTCTTTTGCAGAGTTTAATCTTTTCCTCTAAGAAACGAGTAAGGCTTTTATCAGTAGACAAACCAGTAACCTCTTGCAAGAAAACAAGGATTTGATCTTGAAAGACAAGATCCGCCAAACAAATGTAATGATTAGACTCAGCCCACCCATGTAAGTCAATTATTACAGATCAATGTTTGTTATTAGAACTAATTATGTGGATACTTACACTTAACTAACTGCTGTTTGAAGGAAGTATCTTCAGCGTTGTTTTGACTCATTTGGTATCTCTTGGCTTGAATAAGGTAAAAGTCATTGCCTAGAATTTTGGGTTTGGTTGGTTGTGGTTTTTTTTTTAAGGTTGGCAAATTTTTGCTCTATTGAAGGCTATGTTTGCATAATAAAACGAAAGCAACTGCAATAGGAACGTTTTTAACATATACAATATGTATTTCTCAAAATATGCATTTCCAGAGCTTTCTGTGTGGCATCTGGACTGAAAGGATTTATGCCTCTGAAGTTATGACTGTTATTTATGTCAATTCTTTAATATTTATCATTTAATAATATTTATTATTCTCCTCTGTAGGGCAACCCAAGAAGGTTTGAACCTAGGCAGACGTACAAGGAATAAAACCACTTACCAAGATGAAAAAACTACTTGCCTACCTAAAAATAAACACCAAACGCCTTGCAGACAAGGCAAGCAGAATACGCTAGAGGCAGGTCAAGACAAAACTGCAGTTAAAACAGCCAATTTGACCAAACTAATACAGTCCTGATAGGAGGAACACATCATGGATCGAAAATCTATGCTTAATCCAGGTTCTCCTGTTCCTGCCTGCCTTCAGTGCAGCCCTTGTTTGCTAACACCAAAAAAGTACCTATTCATATAACCTGCCTATGTCGGCCAAGACTTGATACCACAATTTC